TTTATTACACGAGATGTACCAACGATTTGTTTATATCTGAGACAAGAAGAATGTCCCTTGCGAGAGAATCGAAAGGATCGGGATCCGGATTTTCCTTAAATCAAGAAATAGCTTTGAACAATCGTTTTGCAAATATTTTATTTAAATAACAGCCGAGCCTGGATCAAACACGAACGAACGGATGGAAATCCGGGCGAGGGTTCGATGGAAACTGGTAACAGACGTGGTTCATCGTAACAAAGAGAGAGCACGTCCGCTCAGCTGGAGTAAATGTAAATCAGAAAGAGAAGGGACAGAGTGGAAACGCATTGAGTAGAGTAAAAGCGAGCGAGAGAGAGAGCGAGAGCGAGAAGATGGTAGGGTGAGCGCAAATTACTTGAGGTTTCCGGCAACTGGCGCTAATTGAATTCCCCGATGAATCGAACTCTGCATAGTGCAGCCGAGCGGAATATTGGCTCTTTTCAACGACGCTTCAAATGGACGGTCGCCGACACGGCCATCGGACCATCGGATCCCGCTTTAACCGGCCAGTCCTCCTCTGTTTCAGTCTTTCGGACCATCGGACCACGTCCTGAGCCACGCTCTCTGGACACGTTACGCATTCGCCGTAATACGTTTCGTCCGCGATTCTTTATTCCCGTTTGTATTCCCACGTCTCAACGCGGCTCAAATCGCTGGCGATAAGAACGATTTGGTAGATCCGCGAGGAAATGCATTTCTGTTTTTATTAGCATATGAAAGGGCTTAGCCGAATAAGGGGGTCAAAAGTGCTCTCGAGTTGAATGAAACGCCACTCGATAGCTTATCAGAAAAGAAACATTCACTCCAATTTTTAGCATCATATCTCAACCTGGATGGTAATCGGGAAAATTCGAAAAATCAGTTTTTTTAGGTTTTTCCTTATTTAAGTCGTGCGAAAAATTAAAAAAAAAATTCTGACCCGTGCTTACTATAACTGGGCACGTCTGAGAATTTTCTCAGATTTTTTCGTTGCAAAATGTAACCGTGAAAAATAAAAAAATGGTAAAAATCATTTTTTCACATAGAAATCTTGTGATGACTAGATTTGTATTTTTATGCTGGATCAGCATCGATTCATGAATGAGATTCATTCAAATGTACAAGAGTATATGAAAAAAGTCAATAAATCGTCTATTTTCTATTTCTCTATTACAAAATGATTTTTCAACAACTCCAATATTCTGTATGCATAGTCTGACGGGTACGAAAGTCTTTTATGATGACCCTTTGAAATTCTTATCGCCCAGCGACATATAAGTTCAACAGCTGCGTGGATTATGGGGGTCGCGATCGCGGAGACAAACAGAGAGAGCGAGAGGATGGAAGGATAAGAGAAGCGAGGGTGGCGAGCGTCATAAACGCGGACGCAGGTATAGTCGCGTCTGCGGCGCGGCAGATAAAGGGCCGTCGGTGGATAATTACCACCTTCCCTTTGGCCGGTACCGGGCGTAATCCTTGTCAGGGGTTGGGAACACGGGGCGAACGACCGGCTCGAGTTGGCCTATGTCCATGGACCGTGCCATGTTCCTCGTCCATAGCCCGTTTATTCCGTCTTCCGCGGTTCCTCCTTCTATCTCTCGCTTTGCCCGTTTCTTCGGTTCGCGTCGCGGCACGGCGACTGCGGCACTCGTCCGGCACTCCGCGACTCGGCGAAATTAGATGAACGTGGAACCTCGGTAAGACCGACCGTGCTTTCATGTCGAGACGCGAGTACGAGAGTAACTTTGCTAATTTATTTTCCGCGGATATATGGACGCCGCAAGCGTGAAGACAATCGGCTGTTCGTTCTTTGATTACCTGCTGGACACGGTACTTTGTGCCCGTCGAGACTTCTGTAGCATCAAAATCACGTGTGCTGTCGGTGACACGTGAAAGCCGGAAGGCGCGGTTCGCGTTTTTTGGACAGTTCCCTGGTTGACTGACGCGTACGCACCCGGGATCAACTTTTCACGTACATTCCATGTATTTAATTCCTTTTTCTTTTTACTTCTGAGGAAGTACAACAAAATTTTACTGATAAATATTTTGTCATCTATCATGTTTCTGCATTCTTATAGAAAATTATTCATTTGTCTTGTAATTATCGGAGTTTCTTAAGTTTTCTAAGCGTATTATTAATTAAAATAAATCTCACTGCGTCTTCGTCGATGCCGCGTGAAATATTTCCTTTTTTTATGAAAGAAGAACTCTCACAGAAAATTTCAATGAAAAATTGTAGATAAATAATGCACACATTCAAGAGGAGCATACGTGCACGTACAGAAAATCGTCGAGCGTTAATTGCAAGGAAACGTTTGTATAAAATCAAAGGAAGCCGAGGAACGATTCGTGCAAATATGTATTTTTCGCGAATAAAAAGAAGCCGAGAATTCTAAAAAAAAAAAATGAATCGTGGGACTTTTTTCTTCAAGTACGTCGTCTAACTAGAAATGTTTGCGGGTACGTAATGCTCGCCGTTAAAAATAGCGACTGCACGCGATACAGACCGTACATGCATATTCACGACGAAGAATGATTCGATAATCATTCGGCGTTGTTCTCTAGCGACGATTACTAACGAGCGGTAGCGACGCGCGGGGTCGACCAAAGGGAGAAACACACGAGTCGGATTTAATGAGAGAAACGCAGAGACCATAGGAGAGAAATAATGGTTGGGTTGGAAGGTTGAAGAGGAAATGGAAATGGATACGGCAACGGAGACGCGCGCAGGGAACGTCGCGACGCGACGTTGACAAGGTGGAAGAGGAGGAGGAGGAGGAGGAGGTGGAGGATGAAGTCGTCGAAAGCGGTGAAAGCACGGAGAAGAAAAGAAGGGGTTACGGATGAATAGGGAGGCCGGAGCTTTTCACCCGATCAAATGTGATCGAACAGACGCGAATGTCGTGTATTATTGAGCGAGCGACGCATTATCCAGTAATACAGCCGACTGCATCCGGCATTATCGGAAACTCGTTGCTCTGCCTCGACGAAGTCGTATTTAACGGGATCTCGGAATGAATCCCCCTCGCTCGTTCTCCCTCCGTCAGAAGCCACCGACGAAATGACACTGCGTGAAACCAGTGACCGGCGGGAATTCGAGCGACTACGGAGTAGACTAGTGGTGCATCGTATTCAAATAGAAATATGCATTTCACGCACATCATCGATTTTCACGATAACATCACAAAAATTCTAAGGCAACGTGACTGTGTTGATTACTGGCATTCCCTGACGTGACATCGCTCGCACTGATTATGAAACTTGTTATGCTAAATAAAATATTTATGGTACCAGTTTAAAGAACGTGTTTTAAATAAATTATCGTTGAAACATTGCAATATGCATTTTACTTTTACAAGAAACAGAAATAAACCAAAAACAAGTCGTTAAATCATGGAATTTCTAAGAAGGTATTAAGTAGAATTCCTGAACGTTTTATGAATAATGAGATACAAAATGTTTTATGAATTCGTTACATTAATATATAAAAAAAATGTTATATTACATTATGCTATATAACATTTTGCTCCTTGCATCTCTAACAAGTACAATTCTGCTATATAACATGTTTCGTTAGACTCTAGACACGCCTTGACGTGAACAGCTCGAGCGTCTGACTAATTACTGACTCGTATCACTGAATTTCTCATATCTCGAAAAGGAAAGGGAATCGAGCAATAACTTATATAACATTTTTTCTTCAGAATGGTCTACGAAAAACGTTGGAATAGCTCGTTTTCGCGTGACACACCCCTGTGTCCCATACACGTGTATTCCAATGATTCCGCACAATATTTACAAACCTTGGAAAAGTGGAGGGACAAATAAATCATAAATCGACAAACAACAAATGAATCAACAGTCCTTTGAGTATCAGCCAGACGGCGTACGTTTCCAGTTTAAATTGCACGATGTAGCTACGTGCGAACCCGTACTTGAATGCATCGTTAGAACGTGATTGACGGGTATTCGTGAGCGAGCAAACGTTGCCCTTTGAGCGATCAATCGCGACGCACGGACGAGACGAGATGGCAAACAGGACGCGTATCAAAACTCTGTGGCAACTGGCGGTGCCCGTTTTGCATTAACCTTTTTTTTTTTATTTTTTACCTCGCCTCGTTTCGACCTGACGCAAGCGTCACGGCCGAGAAGAGACGAGTGGTGTTTATATTTCAAACAGTGGACATTACGAGGTTTCTCTGTGAAACCCGACGAGTAATTTAACCGTTATTATGTAAAGGTTTTTTTTTGATACCTTAATTACGCAAAGGTGGGTCATTTGAGTCAGAGTTTTCTATACGTTAAAATTATAAAAGAAATTAAATCTTCAAAATATTTCAGAATAAATGAATGTATACAATTTTTGCATTTGAACAAAATAATAGTTAACAAAAATTAGTATTCGGGGAATTATACTGTGCAAGACAAATCGTGACCGTTCCACTTTTTCTGTCTATTATTTATAGGAATGTATATTTCTGGTGTAGCCATGACGCACGGAGAAAGAAATACCAAGAGATGAGAGGGGAAAAAAGCAGAGAAAAAATAGGATGAACAAAGGAGGGGCATCGTTTCTGGTTTTCTTGCCGCTGGAAAACTATTTCACGGGTTCATCGAGATACACCCTTCAAGGAGAAAAAGAAGAGTAACACGTTTCGGTGGATGCTTCCCCCAACCGGAAAAAGGAAACGCCTCTCTGCTCTTATCTATTTCTACTGTTGTGTCTTCCTTACACACGTAACTCTCTTTCGTACCACCAATCCCAGACATTTTGTCCAAGTTCAAGTATTATTCGACTAGTTTCGAATATACGCTTGTTTAGTTATTAAACAGAATTAATTCAGTATTGGTAATTTAAAAAACGATTTGAATAAAAAAACTGTTAATCCCGATTACCAAACCAGATTTATCTATAATTCTGTTCATTCGATTCTGGCTATTTTTATAACAAATTAAAAATAATAAAAAACTTCGTTGAGAATCAGTGAAGAAGTACTCACCAGTGCGCGTGATCAAGAGACATATTGCCAGTAGCGACGTGAACTTTTTAAGAAACCTGCGAACAGAAAAGGGCGCATGGATTATTGATTGAGACTTGTCAGTAACAGAAGATAAATAAGATACGTCGCAGGCATTGAACTCGCGGTTTGCCGTCGGCTAAACTGTCCGATTTTTTCAACGTGCAACCAACGACTGTCGACGAGTTTTGATAAATCTATCAACTTCATCGCAGAGTATCGATTCCCTTTAACCCCTTGCACTACGAAGTCAACTTCAATAGAGCACAAACTAAAAAAATAATTATAGTGTAGTAGTGACAATCGCACGCGGTCGCTTTCCTTTACGTGTGACTCCACTTCAATTGAACCATCTGGTCAATCACGAAACTACCAGAATGGTGACAACGTTTACAAAGATTTTCAAATAACAACTTGACGATACGATTATAAAATAAAATAACAATATTTGTTGCTGCAATTAAATGAACAGAGTGGTGTTATTAGTTTCATAGGCGCGGGAAACTATTATGAATGAGAAAGGAGTGCATACACGTGTCACACAAGATAATTAGCTGACGTTGAACATAATGGGTTACAATAGACCAGCCAAGAAACGCCGGAACGCATTTATCTTGCCACGCCGTTCGTGGGTACATCAGGCTGATTCGCGTTCAAGCATGATCATAGCCAAACGACACGCGAAGAGAAATGAATTCTAACATCATAAATGAATCACTTTCATTAATCAATTCCAAAACGTGTCTACACTGAATATTTTAATTCTTTTGTACGAACGTACAATGTAATAATTCGTAGATATGCGCCGTCGGACTTGAGCCTAGAGTTTCTTTCTTTAATTTTAATACATTGGACGCGCGCGCATAATCGAGTATACGTGTAAAAACCTCGGGAATTTCGTTTTCTCATGATTTATAGAAGTTTATTTCGGTGATGGATGGCCTGCGGTCGCTTTGATTCCGGCATGCGATAATACCGGGTCTGCGAAATGGAAACCGCCGCACACGGGATCAACGCATTGAGCAGCGTCCACTATCAAAACGCACGTCGAGGTCAATGCATTCCAGTGGCATCAGTCTATGTACGGTCGTACACCGCAGGACATCGCCTGTACATACGTCACTATATGTATACATGGGCAACGTATGTATGCAAGGTGTATGCTTATTGTCGGAGCTTGTACCTAATGAAATTAGTAAATGTTTAGCAGTCAGACGCAGGATTCTGAACATCCTTCATCAACGAAGTAATTATGAAAATACCAACTAGCCAATCAAACTCTAATTACAAGACAAATTTGATGATAAAGTAAACGCTGATCTCAATTAATAGGCACGAGATAATCTAATCATATGTCTGTAGAAAAGCGCTGAAATAAATTATTTGAAAAGAGGTTTCTTAACGAGAAACGACTGCGCTTTGAAGTTCGCTTCAGGATCTTGCTCAAGGGGAATACTGAATAATGATCAACTAAAATTAACCGGTCGGCTATATTCGATCATTTAACTCAGGCTCGTTTAAATTACTCGTTATATGTCGTGAGAAGTAAGATATAATAATCTCGAATGAAAGTTGTCGAATATTATTAAAGAGAACATCATTTTATTATTACTTAGGGAAATCTTGATTGTAGCAAAAATTTAAACACAGGACAGTAGCTTTCTTANTTTCTATTCTATACATTTTTAGTTGTACATACGACAATTAATGTGGGCGAAGCTGCGAGAATCCTGGTATTTTTTACGTGTATACTTTTGTTGATCTTAATTTCTTCGAATGAAGCCGAGTAGGCGTTAGACAAGCACATTGTACGCGTAGCGAAATCGGTAAATGGCCGCGCGTTAATTAGTTAGCGCGGCAGGCATCACGGCTGCATTAGCACCGTGGTGCGGTATGGCACACAAGAGAGCACCCTCGACTCGGCCGGTTGATGTCACCGCGCTGTAACGGCGGTGCTTCATCGCGATATGACTAAACAAACTTCCTCCTAGCCAGACATGTTTAATAAGGCTTGAGCTAACTGCATCAACTATTAACGTTGCAGTTATCCCGGCAAGGAGAACTGCATTTACGCTGCGGACGGAGACTCCTGGCGTTGAACATCCGACCGCTGCTAACTAAATCATTCATCGGAGATACGAAATAAACCGTACCGTCCCGAGCCGCCCATAGGCTCCGCGGAATTCACAATTTTACCCTCGAGACCGAAGCTCAGAAACAACTAACATCAAATTCTATACCGGCTTAACATTGTCTCGTTGATAACTCTGAACATAGTGAATCATCAAGAAAATTGTAATTTCATCATTATTTGATGCGTCGAAATAAAAAGACATACAGTTACTCTCGTTAGTATTCATAGTCATTTCAAAACTGAAAAACCTTTTTAATATTAAACCAGTTAACTTAATATTCTCTGGAATATTAGAAGACTTAGTTTACTATGTAATGCGTAAAATTTGAAAAGAAAGCTACTCGTCAAAGTCTCGAATAAAAAAGTAAAAGGTATGACTTTTAACTTTTTCATTCAGGTCTCCAATAAAAATTTAAAACGTGTTTTCTGCACATCTAAGTATGTTCAATGCATGTGCAAAGTTACGAATAGCAATTCTTTTAATTTTCTGTTAGCAAACTAAGCCTTCTAACATCCCAAAGAATATTTAAAGATAATATTCCGTGTCGCATAGACAGTTGATTCTGTTACACAATCGAATAATAAGAAAAGGCTACGAGTGTAGTTCATTTCCTAGGCACGAGTCGTGTAAATTAAAAAAAAAAGCTGTTGCATGGTAAAAAGCAAATTTTGTGGCGAGCTCGGGAACGTGAACGTAGATATGAATTGCGACGCTAGACAATGGCAAGCTCAGCGAAGAATATGTATGCTAGAAAAAGCGTTAGTAACGCGAACAATAGATAAGTATGCAAATAGAGTGCGACAAAACATGAATGCTATTGTTGCGTCCGCCTTTTGTTTAACGTCGTCCAACGAAAACTGCCGAAAACCGGAAGCTCCGAATGCTCAGTCGAAGCACGTGTAATCATTCGTCTGATAATCAATTTCTTATTCATTAAAACGTTACGCGTAAATGAAATAAAATTTCAGTAAAGGTATTAAAAGGATAAGTAATAGAAACTTACGAGGTATGTTAATGACATCGCGTACTTAATTGCTTTATCATTCGACTCGTCAATTTGCCATTTGGGTCGCGTCACATTTTGCCAGGAACGGCACGTTCCTACGTTTTAACGAGTCGTTTTAAATGTAACGAGCATACGCACTGGCGCCGTGATTGCGTATATGAGCACACAAGAGGCAGCCGGAGCTCGAGTTTACTTATCAAAACCACCGTTCCCAACAGGGCGCATTAACCTAACGCTTAAGTTAGTTTACTACGAAACAGACAGGTTTAATATAGCTTCTGCCAAGGCTTCTCTATATTACAGACGTTACAGATGCTACGGCGACGCGACTTTCATTACTGGAGAAAATATATCCGCTGTAGGTATCTCAAACCGAGGCTAAATTCCGTGGTTAACAGTATCGTACCACCGGTGATAAATCGTCCCCGGGTAAACACATCTCCTGAGGTAATACAATTAATCAAACAAGCGCATTGTACGCAGCCACTATCAGTGTTTGATACTTGTACAATGGGATTACGACAAATAATGTGTAGACATAATTTGGTTACGATCTACAGGTACAATACTACCGGATGACCGATTTGTTAGACAATATTATTTCGAATAATCAACTTAGATAACTATTGACCATTGGCGTTGCAATAACTACGATGAAACCAGTCCCAAACATGTGAATTACTCTTATTTTTCGCTAGGGGCATAATTGCGATTCCCCCTCTATCAGAAATCTACAATTAGTATAGATCTTTTTTAATCGAAAATCCGAGGCTTTTTGCTATCAAAATATCTCTCGGTTATCTCCTTATCAATCAGTCATATACGAATAAATATAGTAATTATTCTAATTTCTGTTCACATCACAATTTCTAGTCATTGATTTTTTTCCTATAATTCGTGTAATGTTAAGCCAGTAACGAGAACAAAAATTACTATACCTCTTAAGTTTTAAACATGTTGCTGAAACTTGGAATTGAGCAATACATTGTATTAATATTTATCGTATGCATGACATGCAAAAATAAAAATTATGACGTGTAAAAAGCGAGTAAGCAGAGTAAAGCGAGACTGAAAATAATTTGAGTGCAAAAAGCCAGAAAAGAGTCGAGGAATGAAAGAAAGTGCAGGTTGACTAGCGCGAATGGAATTTCGTATCACCAATTACGGGCCGGCTAAAGCGTTTTGAACGTAGACACGCGTGACCACTCTCGCTGAAGAGAGCGTATAAATTCTGACGTGTTAATTACGTTACCCCCGACGCTATTGCATTAGCGTTACGCCGCGCAAGAGACAAGAGAGCTTACACGTTCGCATGAGAGGTAAGTAGTAATAGCATGTTCTCGCCGCACGCTCCACTCAAAACGACGTCCAATATGCGTACGGCTATAATAATTACGTAATTGCTACGAAAAAAGTAAGCTGTTCGTCCAAGAGGCCACAGTGTATGATTGCAATAGGAAATATGAAAATATTCAACTATTAAGTTAGTGCACAGGAAATTTTTATTCCTCAATTTTTCACAAATACTTATTCAATTATATTTCTATTATAAATTGAATTTAAGATTAAATAATATGGCAGAATCAATTTATATTTGAAATACAATTATTATAAATGTTAATGAGAAGTTTTTGCCATCATTTATTTTTGCAACGAGAAAAAATGTGAGACTATATTACGTATTTAATTGTTACTCGATGGTAGTATTCTTGAATAAAGTGCAATTTATCACGTGACACAATTGGTACAAATATTAATTATATTAGCAGTGAATCATTTAACTGGATCATAAAATGACAGAATGTCTCTTATTGTCGACGATAAATCCTTAATTATATCTAAAATGCTCGATAATGAAATTATTTAGGAATGTGTCAGAGTAACTGATAAATTATTTGAATGAAATATATTTGTC